AATAAATTGGGAGACGGAGAAATGCAGGTATAGTACTGCCGTGAAATCCACACAAGAATAGTAGTAAACGAAGCATCGGCAACGCGGAAGAGTCGGATTAATTGCGTTTATTTTGCTGGTGCATAGTTTCTGGTGAAAAGCTTCAAGAGAAGGTTTATGAGGTCATAGTGCAGCTCTATGTCCGCAGATACTAAGTTGAAGCTTTTGTTTTTTATCATCGCAGCACACTTGCCGCTCTTTGTTAGTTTTAATCATTACAAGCCATTTCCTTTGTGTTTACTGGTGAACGTCTAATGGATCTCAAAAGTTGACATGCGCCGTTTCGTACCGCGCACCTGAACAAAGCTCGGCTAAGCAATGCCTGAACGAATGTTCAATTGTGTCGAAAAATGCAATCTTTTGATTGTAAGCTCGTTATCTTTTTGTCAAGGATTAATGGACCACCAAAAATAGAGTACTAACACCGCAGTACTCCACCCAGGATTGCACGGTTACTGAAAAAAAGTCCTCTCTGTTATCATCACACAGTCAACATGATTCGATTTTAATATTTCGTTATGTTCACTATGGCTTATTATTGCATGGAGATGTGCTACAGTCAATTGTTTGGTGATATAAATCATTGATATAATTGTTTTCTCGTATATTCTTCAGTGTTGCATTAAGTATTCGTATGTTTGCTCGGACAGTTTCGATCAAGGCGAAGGCATGCCATACGTCGTGGTTGAGTGAACAAGTTTCAAATTACAGAACATAAAATCTTGTAGTGAGTAGTCAACATCTTCATTGTACAATTCTTGCATGGTGTGAAATACATTAGTGGTGACACTCGTTTCATGTTTATACTTCACTCTGCTTCAAATATTCTTCAGTCCTGGTAAATTTGTTTATTTACCTGTGAACAATGCTAACTGATCTGTGTTTTGTACACGTTGTCAGAATATTGCAGAGATACGTCTCGACGAATATTATTTGCGCCGATATGTCAGTTTATAGGACTGCAAAGAACTGTTTCAGGATTTTTGTTACGCAAAGAGACTCTTGGCTGGATAGATATCATGATTAACATGAGTGATTGCCTTCGGCGGCAATAACTCCTCGCTTGATTTTATGCATGCGTGATTGCATGTAAATGTGATGAACAAATCTGCTGTACCGCAATAATGCCGCTGACATAGCGACATGGCTCTTGACATATTCGTGCATATGTCTCAAGGGCTTCCGATGTATTGTTGGCTGGAAGATATAAGTCATCCGACCCCGACAATATTCTGGTGCATTTCCATCAAAGTATTAAGTCGCATCTTCGTAAGGTGAAATATTACTCTTCAGAATCAGGAGTTTTTGTCTGATTCAGCCTGATGAATGTTAATCTTTTCCAGAATTTTACAGTTTTAGCATGTGCCAACAATATATTGTTTGTGATATAGATCGCCCAGATCATTCTTCCATTGTGATTTGTCTTCATTTTTAATCCGCAGAATCAGTTAGGCGGTATGCAAATTAATAGTTCATTATTAGACTGGACGTTTTTCTTTGTTAGTCGTTCAGCAACCTGTAATTCAGATTTTGTTTTAAGTAAACCATTGAGATATAAAATTAACCATACATAATATAAGTTAGCTGAGTGATATACCCTAATATTTTAATTACCTTGTAAGTGGGATTTATAGATTTTTATATGGAGAAATCATATGAGCCATGCTTCGCCTGATGGGCCAAATATAAATGGACTATCTTGCACTGTGGCATCATAGTGTGCGTGGTGTCGGTTTGCCTTTATAATGCTTGTCAATTGACTGCATTTTCGCGAACGATTGAAAACAATATCTACGGGATCCAAGTCTTTCTCCGACTGAGTAAGCACTTCACTTGAGTAGTTGGTGCATTAAACCGCTTGCAGGTGTTGACAGGTGTCGGAACGCGCAGGTGTTTTATCAGCTCTGATTACAAATTTGGTGAATTATCTGATGAGCAATCAGATCCAGGGCAAGTTTTAAAAAACGAATATAAATCAATTGATGTGTGTTCATGAGGAAATAAGATTTTGTATTGTTCTAGACAATAGACCTCTTTACTATAAATTGTTATGTGACCACAACACGCAGATTAGTTTCTTGTGATGAAATTTGCCCATAAGATAAATTTGCAAGGAATTTTGTAGTTGCTAGATCCTAGTGACACTGGTACCGTGATCCTTGCGTTCTTCTGGTGATATATTTTGGCCTTCGTAATCTTGTCAAAACTTTAAAAAAAATAGTTATGTTTGTACAAACACTGAGTTACCACCATAGTTCGCTATAAATAAAATCAAATTAGAATAAAATAAGCGAATGTGGGGTGGTATAACAATGTTAAAAGTGGATTGTCAGTATATCTTCAATATATCTTAATATTTGTTCTTTAAAATTATAATCTGTCTCCTAATGTAGATTTGTAACTAAATATCTATCATACAAATAATTAGTTAGTTTGGTTTAATTTAAATTTATTATTGGGTTCAAAATAATCAAAGTGTCGCTAAAACTGTATCAACCGAAAATAATATGGGGATAAGTGAATGAATCTATGATCTTTAATGATTAAAGAAAATTGAATATTAAGGTAACACATCTTATCTTTAAGGTGACAGACACAGTTAAAAATAATTATGTTTAGACTGCTATAGTGATACATTACTTGAAAGTGGTATGGCATGACATTTTCCGCGAACTAACACTTGTTTGACAAGCAAATGAAGTCCATTATTTGAAAGCAATCTGTTGGATATTGGCTTGAATATTTTTTCAAAAAAGTGAATGAGATAACCTGTTTCTCTTCCTGAAACGCAATGAGTACAACGTATGGCTTCTGGTGGTGGTTCCCAATGGTATCAGATTTCGACTTTACCCATTTGCGCAAAGCCAATCCTATTAGCTTCGTTTTAAATTTTCATATGCTTTATCAATATGGAGCAAACCAGAACGTTTTTATTAGTCTATCTAATATTGCAGCCTGTTGATACGGAAATGTCGAGTACAAATGAGAAAATTCTGTCTTGTTTTCAAAACGGCGCGGAAGATACGCGAACGCGAATTCGCGCGGGGGATTTGGTGCTGAAACTGGTTGGGTGTGGTCGATGGCGAATTGCTCGCATAATCGGCTAGATGCTGTCTGCTGTCGTGATATGCGTAGAAAGAAAGAGGAGGCAAGGCGGATGGCGATTAACACGAGAATCGCAAGACCAAATTTTCACATGTTCTGCCTCTTTGATCTTTTCTAATCGAAGAAGGAAAGAAGAACAGATTTCTGATTTGAAATAGAAAAAGGCTTTAAATTTTAAGTTCAAAATCTATTTATTTTGTAAAAAAATTTTAGACAATCGTTATTAGAAATATGAAAAAAAACGAAGATAGGATTTTTAAAAACGCGGAACGATGAACAGCTCAAGAACCTGGAGTCCTCCGGTCTAGAAACCGGAATGAGGTGCATACCCTACGCAAATTGACATGCTTTGACGTTAGGAACATACCTACCACGCAATGAGTGCTTGTGCCCCTAAAAAATAACTAACAACGAATCGAGTGTTGATGACAACAGGCTATAAAAGCTAAAATTCGACTACTAGCGTTTTAATGTTAGAGAAACGCCGTTTTGTATGGGTGAAATGAAGAAAAGGGCTGTTTTTTAGGATTTTTTCGGCAATTATGTAGCGAGATTTTCCTCAGACGTAAAACGCAACCAAAATTATGCAACGGTACACGATTAGTCATCAGAAGAATTATCGGAAACGTGCTTGAAGCAA